AGCTTCAGCTTTCCCTGACTTTGCTCTTGGATCTTCCCTGGAACTCAGCACCTGGTTCTATGATTCTCCTAGCTCCTGACCTAGGCTTGCACCCTGGATTATGTCTCCTAGATCTCCCTCTCAACTTTCCTGGACCTGGTCCCGTGGTCCCTGCTCTACTGTTACAGTCCCCAGCCTGATACCCCAGTAACCTGTACCCGCACCTAACTGACTTCCTAGTTGCTCTTTCAGGACCAAGCCACAGATCCAGCTACCTATGTCCTGGCCAAACCCTCTGTTACCATGTGTTTGTACAGAGCTCTGCACAACTGGGCTTTGTTCTCTAGGCTGGACTACAATAAAAGATGTCCTAACAAACACATTTTTAACTTGTAGATCTGTGTGTAGAAGTGCCACAATATTTCCATCACTTAAAAGACAGGGATATTCTTTGAGCTATTAGTAGTCCTAGATTGCATAATAAAGCATGCTTCTCTGGAATAGCTTTTGAATTTCCATTTGCATCAAGACTTGTCAGTGCAACTGCCATGGGTTACTGCCTGACATTTCCATCAAAAGATCTCCAGCTGGAAATGAAGTCAGTTTGTGTGACCACAGATGCTTCATGCATTATGTTTTGGAGGCCTGGAGAAGACGACCTAGCACAGGGTTATTAAGGATGGAAGAAAGATCAACCAACTTAATGCCTTTTCGAATGAGACTATACCTAGGGAAAGTCTACTATGTCTTTAGATTTGCAGGAACTTAGAGTCTTGTAAATGCAACAAGAGCCCATTGATTTTGGTGACTTCAGTCAGCTCAGACTCACCCAACCTCTAATAGGAAGACAACATCCTTTCAAAAAAGGCTTTCCTTCTTAACTGAGTGGACTTCTCTTAAGCCTAGAATTGATCCCATCAACACCCTGTCTTAAAATGGCAAAAAAAATATTATTCTGATAGCCAGCCATTGATGTTTTTCTTTTTTAAGACAGAGACAAACAGATGTTACTGACTAGGGAACCAGATGTCTATCAGTCATCTGCTGAACTTGCATGCCCCCCAATGCTAATTTTTAAGACACAGCCCATTAATAAGAGACACATGTATCAAGGGAGATGCACAGGGGAACACATGTTAATAAACAGCAATAACAGTAAGGTGTTTGTTACTAAAGCTCCACTTATCCAAACACTTGGAGCTAATTGCGTCCACCTCCCCATCCCCCAAAGTACAAGCAAAAGACCAGTTTGGGACTGGTGCCTCCCTGGATTTCCAGTACTAAAAAAGCATAAGGAACCTTCTCATTATAATTTTCCTGTAGAAGCCTGGTGGGGCGGGGGTGAACTCTACACTGGCAGGAGATCGGGGGAAGGCAAAGCTACTGGTTCATACAGTGGCACAGTTTGGGGACTAAGCACACCATTCCCTTCCCCCTGCCGAGGCAGTACAGCTCCACAGTTACTTCCTGGAGTTACTAGAGGCTTTGCCTTTCAGGCAGGAAATGGCCAGTAGAAAGCTAGTGATTTGTCCTGATCACATGATGCTGGTGTGCAGAAACCTTGTTATCCATAGTCCCAGTGCTGTGCTGAAAATAGAAGCCTTCACCACTTTCTCCATCGTGAATAGCCAACCTGTGGAATGGGTGCCACAACTGGTATGGGCAGCCTCTGTGTGTGGCACATGGCACTGTGGCAGGGACAGACAGCACAGTATCATAGAGCAGGGAACAGAAAGCAGAGCATTCAATCAGGGACACAGCACAAGGCAAGAAGAAGAAAACAAAACTGTGGCTTGGTCAAGGAGCCCAGGGAAGGGAGCAGAAAGATGAGCAGCAGATCTGGTAAGGGAAAAAGGACAGAGTAAAACTTGGAGAGAGTGCAGGGATAATTTGCAGCCCATCTGCCAAAAAGGTTGGCCCTGCTGTTCTACAGCACCCACCTGCTTTATCCTCTGGCCTAGGGGAACAGGAGCGGAAAGGTTACTTTTGTCCCACCAAACTGTGTTCTTCTTTATCAAATGCTCCCTCATAGTCTGTCCTGCACCAGAGCTAACAGAACAGATTTAATTCCCTGTATCACATGAGGAAATCAACCAATTGCCCTTGAGTCTGTACACTAAACTGAGACTGTAAAGCTCCATGTAATCCAGAGAAGCCAGCAGGCAGTCCTGCTAGAGCAGAGTCAAGAAGGCAGAGATAACATGGCATAAGTAACAGCACCCTTTTGGCTATAGTCAAATGGTTTGAAAGCTATGAAAACAGAGTGTCTCACAGAAAATAGTTCATTACACAAAACCCTATGAACAGCATGGCCACATGGACCAAGCACTGCACAAGTATTCTCTGGACCTGCCCCTGACCTTATGCAAGTCACATCCCCATTCTGCGCCTCAGTTTCCCCATCTTTAAAATGTTAATGAAGACACTGAGCTCCTGTGTAAATCACTGGGGAACCTAGCGATGTAAAGCTCTGTATTGCAGGAAGGTATGTATGAAGTTCCCATTACTACAACATTTGGGCACTTCCCAACCTTTAGCTTCACAACAGCCTATGAGATAGAAATGCCCATTTTTCACATGGGGAACTGAGGCACAGAGTGGGGATGTGACTTGCACAAGGTCACAGAGGAAATTTGTGACAGAGCAGGGACGTGAACCTCCTCCTCAAAGGTCCCACACTAGTGCCTCAGCCACTATGCCATCATTCTTCCTACATGTTACAAGGCTGCATTTTGTTCTTATGTCTGGCTATATGGTGGAAGCTGAAGGATTTACTCTGTTTGTATGGAAGCCTCATTGTCACTTCACTTGTAGAGCTTCCTGAGTGAAGGCTATATAATAAGGAATAGGGTTCCAGAGTGTGTCCTACTGTTAACAGATAGATTCGGGAATTACATACCATACAATAATCAACCCATGGAAGCATATCTTTGTGAGGAACAAGAGCTGGGCACCAACACATGCACATTTACAGTGTTTCAAAAGGGGATTGTTTCAGAAGGAGAGCAGCTGTCAAGGTCTAATTGCTAGGCCAGGAACAATACAAATGGGCAAAACTGTTCCAACTTTATAACCCTGCTTCATCCAGTGGAAAAGCTAGAGTGTCTTACTCCATTTGCATCATTCCCAGCTTGTCCACACACAACAGTTAGAATGTAAAAGCTTCTGCCCTTTTGAAATGGCTCCAAATGTATGAGTGTCCTTATCCTTAATGACAGCTTATCAAGAGGCAGTAGAGGTGTTAAGCACTTGTTTCCTTCAAATCTCTTCATTTTTTCATTTGGGTGCAGAGCAGCTCTGTGACTCACATTTCTTTGAAGTGACCTGCAACCTCTATGACCTGGCACATTCTTCAACTCTAGGTAGGTATCAACAGGAGAAACACACACACACACACACACACACACACACACACACACACACACACACACACACACACACACACACACACTTTAAAAAATGACTACAGTTTAAATAAATCTAGAAAAAATACACTCCCTTGGCAATACTGTTTCTCTGTAAAACACTTGTACTGAATGCACCCATATCTCAGACGAGGGTGAACCACAAGGTTATCTTCAGCTGACCTATCCCAGAGTATGACTGCAGTTATTTTAAGCCAACTACCATTGTGCAGGAACAGTTCTCCAGTAAGTTACAGGGAATTTTACCCAGCCAATTGACAACTGATTTTCTGCCTTTGTCCTCACTCTAACCAGCTGTGCCCAGCTGCTGTAGCAAGTGTAATATGTCGATGTTAAAAGGGCTGCCAGTCTTGCATTTCTATCTTGCATGGTTTCTGTCATGCCTGACAAAGTCGTAATATATATTTTAATGCCGTGTTTCAAATTCTCTTTAGGAATATCAATAAAAACAAAAGTAAACAAAAGAGTGACATTGAAAAAACTTTCATAAGGTCCTATGATACCATAAAAGTGTCTGTGGTGATAGCTCAGTAGTCCTGGTAGCAGTGCTGAACTATTCTACGTCTTTAACTTTGGATAGTTAGTACAGAAGACACTATATGCCAAGCAGGGCCAAAGTCTCTTGGTGAATCTGGGCCCTTGTTCTTCTCCAGAGTTGCCTGAAACTCATCAGAAACCTGTTCTTCCTTACAGATGGCCAGATGTGCTCAGACAACATTGAACGAGCTCCACCTTTTACCTGTTCTAGGATAAAACCTCAACTGAGGGCTCCATCCTAAAACACAGAACCCCACTGAGAAGCACTTATACAGTAAACTACCTCAGATTCAAAAGAACTGCTAACATAAGCTGAGTCCCACTTGCGTGAGTAGAGGTCACATACTCTGGCCCAAAGCAAATGCCTCTGTGCAGGTCAATAGGGCTAATCACAGGCCAGGTTCTGCCTGTCTTTGCAGTGAGGATACAACACAGGGAGGAAGATGTGAAGATCCTTCCCTTCTTCACACAGACAGCAGCAAGGCTGGGCACAGTGACAAAGCAAAGAAGGAGAAACCAAGGGATCTGGGCAGGTTCTTCAGGGGGCAGGAAGTCACACAACACAAAGAAATGTGGCAGAAGGTTTTCAGCCCATACACTGCTGTGATCTATACCCAAGCAAAGCAGACTTCTCCTAATGCTTCCTATCCCTGTGGCCCACAAGCCCAGACTATGCCTTGATGGCACAGTTAGGTACACACATGCAAGGACTGTAGCATTGAGATCTAAGCCAGGTCTGCAAAACACTGAAGAAGAGATGTAATCTCCACAGTTGGCCTGCTTAGGTAGACAGCTCTTACTTCTTCATCTCATTTAGCAGCTAGACATACTTTGAGCCAAACACAGCCCTTGAACAAATCACACTCAGCTCCAGATAAAGTCAATGGGAGCGGCACATGAATTACCGATGGCAGAATTATGCCAGGCAGGTTCTATAACTAGAATGGCCTTTGGATAACAAGTTTGTCAAGCTTTATCTCTTCACTGAGACAAAACTGAATGGCATTAACCCTTCCTCCCTCCTAATGTATCTGTAGCCCATATCTTTGCAGTGCCTACCTTAACTTCCACATGTGCCATCAGGACAGCAAAGTTGGTTAGATGATTACAGGAACATGTAGTGTGTGTCTTATTTGTTGTCAGGAGCCGACATCCTTGCGTCGACCAATAACCTGTCATTGTGCGCTTTGAATAGCTCCAGAATGAACAGTTAGGGTTGAAATTTTCTTCTGACTGCTGCGGGGAAGAAATGAATAAATGCAGTAAAAATTGTAAGGCTTCAAAGATTTCTAAATGCACTCTCTTTTCCCAGAGCCACTTTGTAACTCTCACCCTTTAATTTCACATAAACAATCAGCCACGGTTTATATGTCAAGTATTAGTTGTATATGCCAGAGAAAGTTAGATTGTTGCTGCTCTCTTTGTTAATGCAAACTTAGTTCTTTGTTCTTGATTAATTTCATCCACAGATGTAAGTCAACCCCTCAGAACAAGATTGCTTCATTTGCATTGCATTGCAGAGCAGAGAAATTAATTGCTTTAAGCAATCAACTTTTGCACTGACTCTGCTTGGCTACTGGAGGGCTAGGTGTCCTCATCCAGGGTAATTCCATTTCCTCTAATATCCCCTGCCACCAGGATAAAATAATATTATGGGCCATTTTAATATATTGGTAGTTTTTAATCACGGAATGACTTGTGTTAGCAATTGAATGATGCGACTTCTACACAGTGGAGACCCTTTCCCTAGCCTGATTAGTATAATGTAAAAGAGGCATTATCCATATAAAAACATTAAGCACAAAGGCAGTAACAAATACATAACTCAAAGTTTGATCTAGGACTGCTTGGGCACTGTAGGCTGCCCAACTTGAGGACTTCCGCTGCAGTTGTTTTAGAAATAAAATGAAAAACCATTTAAATATGAAGTTTCACAGACCCGCCATGCCCCCTTACCTTGATGTGCTTGACAGCAAACACCACAGGATCCGCTAGATAAACTTTAGTGCTGAACTCTTTGTTTATTGCTGCCGTAATGACAGGGGAGTTAACTATGACAGAGTGATTGGTTGACATGGCCTCTGTTCCTAACTTCATGCTGGCATTCTCCGTGGAGAGATACGGACCCAGGTTGTTATACAGCACAAAAGCCACCCTGATTTCACCTACAAAGTAGAGAGATAAGTTAGAAATCATACCAATCCAGCTCAAAGGGTTGTGTTCAAGATAATAGTTCTTTCTTACAAGAAAAATGCTCTTTCTGTTACAACTTCCTCCTCCCTACCTGTGCTGTTGAAACCAAAGCTGTGCTTTGGGGCTTACAACCCTAGTTTCTAAAGAAGTATCCTTTCATGGCTACGTATGACTGCATTTGCCATATCTCATGAACGGAGCTCAAGCTCATGAAAGCTTATGTCTCTCTTACTTACTTAGTATGCAAGGTGCATCTCTACCTTGCCTTTTGATTGACTTCAGACTAGCACAGCTCCCTGCATATACAAGGATATTTTCAGGAAATAAAAGTATTGATGTCTTGCAGATATAAATCAGTTTCCACTCCCACTTCAAATACCAGAGCTCCATTTGACCAACTAGGTGGCCCATGGGTGGGCAGAGCATACCTTGATTATCTAATACTACCCTCTGTAGTAGTCCTGAGTAGCATTGCATTAGAATTGGTGAGAAAAAGGGAGAGAGAGCTGGGATGAGCAAGTGGAAGAAGTCCTGGCTTAGGATACCAGTGTGAGTATTCTGCTCCATGGGAAAAAAGGTAAGGAGGTCTCTTCCCCTCATGGCAAAAGATGTGGTACTAAGAACTGCATACCCTTCTCTGTTAGGCACCTGCACATCTGTAGGACACAATGGATCATGACAGTCTAGCCCAACATGAAAAACATAATGAGAAAATAAAGGCTATTACCTATTTCCAAAAAAAGAGTGGCGTAGAGCAAGGAATGGGGGAAGGTGAAAAGATTTAAAAATTTCCATCAAGACTAAAGCTTTACGAGCACTCGTGGTGCTCTGGTGAGGTGCCTGACAACTGGAAAAGTGCCAATGTGGTCCCCATTTTCAAAAAAGGGAGGAAAGAGGACCCAGGAAACTATAGGCCCGTTAGTCTTACCTTGGTCCTGGGGAAGCAATTTTAGAAAATTATCCAGGAGCACATCTGCAAGGGGCCAGCAGGGGAGTTTATGCTTAGGGGCAACCAACATGGGTTCATTAGAGGCAGATCCTGTCAGACCAACCTGGTGGCTTCCTATGACCAGGTCACAAAAGCCTTGGATGCAGGTGTCGCAGTGGACGTAGTCTTCCTGGACCTTAGGAAGGCCTTTGCCACTGTCTCTCACCCCATCCTCATTAAAAAATTAGGCGCCTGTGGTGTCAACGCCTACACAGTCAGATGGGTCGCAAATTGACTGGAGGGCCGCACCCAGAGAGTGGTCATGGACAGGTTATTTTCGACCTGGAGAGATGTGGGCAGTGGGATTCCCCAGGGCTCGGTCCTCGGGCCCGCACTGTTCATGTTGTCATCGGCAATTTGGACGAGGGGGTGAAAAGCACCTTGTTCTAGTTTGCAGATTACACTAAGATGTGGGGAGAAGTGAGCACGCTAGAAGAGAGGGACAGGATACAACTAGATCTCGACAGGTTACAGAGGTGGGTGGATGAGAATAGGATGGGTTTCAATACGGACAAGTGCAAGGTGTTGCACCTGGGGAGGAAGAATCAGCAGCATACCTACAGGCTGGGGAACTCCCTTCTCATCAGCACAGAGGTAGAGAAGGATCTTGGAATCACTATTGATTGCAAGATGAACATGGGCCGCCAATGTGGGGATGTGGTCAGGAAGGCTAACCGCACCTTGTCATGCATCCATAGATGCATCACGAGCAGGTCCAAGAAGGTGATCCTCCCCCTCTATGCGACACTGGTCAGGCCGCAGTTGGAGTACTGCATCCAGTTCTGGGCGCCACACTTCAGGAGGGATGTGGACAGCATTGAGAGGGTCCAGAGAAGGGCCACGCGCATGATTAGGGGGCAGCAGGGCAGGCCCGACGAGGAGAGGCTAAGGGACCTGAGCCTGTTCAGGCTACACAAAAGAAGGCTGAGAGGGGATCTGGTGGCCGCCTATAAACTTGCCAAGGGGGACCAGCAGGCAATGGGAGAGTCCCTGTTCCCCCGAGCACTACTGGGGTTACCAAGGAACAACGGCCATAAGTTGACTGAGAGTAGATTCAGGCTAGATATCAGAAGGCACTACTTCACAGTCAGGTCAGCTAGGAGCTGGAACCAACTCCCAAGGGAAGTGGTGCTCCCTTCTACCCTGGGGGTCTTCAAAAGGAGGCTAGACAGCCACCTAGCTGGGGTCATTTGACCCCAGCATCCTTTCCTGCCCATGGCAGGGGGTCGGACTGGATGTTCTCCTTAGGTCCCTTCTGACCCTACCAACTATGAAACTATAATTTTTGAGCAATTTGCCACCACCACCCAGCCCCATCTCAAGTATATTTTTTTTTCCTAAAAACCACCACAAAAGAACCCATTTTATTTTTCAACCAGATTTTCTCCCTTTCCATATAATCCCATTGCTAGGGATGTTTCATAAAACCCACACTACCAGCAAATTGGTTCTTAACAGAAGCAATCCACTTTACCGCTTTTTTGCACATTACTGCAAAGACTATAAAATAAGAAATGGAGTGAGATTCGTTTTCTTTTATAATTATTGTTTTTTTTTTAATCATGTCCAATGTTAAGGAAGATACAGAATCAATTATATGTTACACAACACGTGATTTAAATGAGGGAGTCAGACTGAAGAAATTCACTGCTGGGATAATAACAATACCTTGCTCTTATACAGTATTTTTCATCAGTTGGTCTCAATGCATTTTATGAAAAAGAGGTCAGTATCATTATGAAGGGGGAAAGGAAATGCAGAGCCTATTTTATGAGAGGAGACTAAGAGACATGCTTGTGTAACACAGCAAAAGGCTGTGAAAGGAGATGGCTGGTGTCTGTAAATATTTCAAAGGGGCAAACATGAGAGAGGGAGAAGAGCTATTTAACCTGAAGACAAAGCTGGCATGAGAACAAGTGGGGATAAATTAGCCATGCATAAATTTAAGCTGGAAACCAGAGAAAGGCTTGCAACCATTAAAGGTTCTAGAACATCCCTGCAACAGAAATACTTAGCCTTTTGCTCCCTCTTCTCCTAAGGTGGAGCTTGATAAGATTAATGTTGAACTATGGGGTTACCTACCATAACATGCGGTCGAGCATGAAAATCCAGGAAGCTGCTTCCTGTCCTGTGGTTCTATTAGCTATTGCTTATGTATGGGGAAACTGAGGCATAAAGGGAAATGAGCTGCCCAGTTTCACCCAGCAAGGCCGTAGCAGAACCACATATAGAAACCAGGTCTCCTGAGTCCCAGTCCAATAGACTGTCCTCCAGGCTAAACAGCTACAACCACAATGAGGTCAATTTAGTGGTAACCAGCTGTGTCCTTAAGTCCCTTGAACTGCAAACAGTAACAAGATCTTATGTGAAGCTTGTAATTTTTCAATTAAAATAACCACAGCAAAACAGAAACTTCTTTCTAGGTGTATCTACATGAGACATTTACTGAGGAGCTGCCTAGTTAGCACCGCAGTAAAGTCTCGAAGCTACCCGTGCAACCCTATTAGGCTGCAGGATACTAATGAACTCAGCTGTAGGTTAGTACCCGTACATACAAGTATTATTCTGCAGCGGAGTTCTTCAATGTGCAGCAATGCACATGTAGATCCTGACAGGGCTGGCTGAGGCATGAGGGTGCTTCAGTGTAGGGGCTGTCTGCTGGCTAGCCCCACACTAGAGCACCCTTTTGCCCTATCCAGTCCCCTGCAGCATGTTGAGCTGGGTCAGAGCAGCCCCAGGTTGGCAGGCTAACCCCACTGGTCCCCTGCCAGCTGCAGCTGCCCTACCCCAGCTCAAACTGCTGTTGTCCTGGGCACACGTCAAAATGCTGCAACTGGAAGCAATAACCTTTAACATGGTATGCACTGGAGTTTATTCATTTGCATTAATTTCATGTGCCCTTTAATATCAATTTTCTAGTGATTTTTTTCAATGTCCCATGCTTTGGGAGGGAAGGCAGTTCATGAATGCATAAGGTTATTACTATTGCTTCCAAATATATACAAATTAAAGCCATGTATGTCTATTGATTTTAATAGACCATAGATGATTTACACCAGCTAAAGATCTGGCCCTTTGATGAACCTATGTGCTACTGCTTTCAAAGAGTAGCTAACAAGGGCAGACAAATCTCTGAAATGTTTGCAGGGGGGATGACACGGGACACAGCTGCTATCTTGCTATCTACTATCCTTCTCTATAGTGATGGCTGTTCTCACATTAGGAAAGCACAGTGACAGTCAGCCTTTAAGAAGCTAATCAAGTCAGCTGCAAGGAAAAAAAAATACTGCCAAGTAGTTTGCAGCAAGAAAATCTGGGAATAGTGAAAAAATACAGAGTTCTGAATTTTATCCTAGACATAGGTTTTTACATCACAACAGTGCTGGTGAGTCCATATTCCACACTGGTCAGAATGCCTTGACGGCCCTCAGGAACATGGATTTTTCCTTCTTTGCATCTAAAGCTTTATTTAAACATTTCTTCTGTTAAAAGTTTCTTGATCTTGACAGAGTCCTAAAGGCCACATGTGTATGGTGAAATGCCATACCCCTGAAGTCTACTGGAGCTTTGCCACTGACTTGAAGGGAGACAAGAATGTACTCCTTGTCTCTAGAATAAACATTCCTTTTCCATTGTACATTTTAGTGTTGAAATCCTGTTGCCAGTACAGTGGGTGACAAAATACCATTATTTTGCTGCAAGTTCAAGATTTATTGCAAACCATGATCTTCAGGATTCTTAACAGTTTTACCTCTATTGCCCAGCTTCAATATTGTCCTTTTACTGTATATTTTGCCTACTTTACAGCTATCAAAGTATGTATTATAGCACTTTCCCCTACATATAGGCTAATGTTTAAAAGCAACCCCCACAGAATATACACTCATTACAGAACAATAAAGTAAATGAGTGGAGTATTTACTTTAATGGATCTCATAAATAGGAATTTGTCAGGCCCATTAGTACAAACAGAGCCTGGCAGTCCCTGGTTTGGTCTACAGTGGATCTATAGAGATAGATCAACCCATGTTTCTGCTCAAATTACTGAACTAGAAATAAATGGCTTGGCAGCTTAAAGACAGTTCACATATAACATCATCTTTAATTCATATTATATCAAGAGGCTCGTAAGCTTTAGAGAGAAAAGCATTGACGACTTGAATTCATAACTTTTAATCACCTCTTTCTGGTGTGTTGGCTTTTTGTGCTATCACTGTTTGCTGTTGTTTCCCCCCGCTTTCCTTCAAATGTTTGCACTGTGCAGCACTTTGAAACAGTTTTTCAAGCAAGCCTTTTATCCTATGTAAAATTTCCCACTGCAGACAACAGATGCTAACTAACCATCTATGCTCGGTACTATCCCACACTGGCAACAATGTTTAAGAAACCACGGCACACTGACAGACCCTTGGCACTCCCAAAGATTGACAGTCACTTGGCAATAAAACAGATTTCCAATCAGCCAATTTAGCATGAAGTCAAGGGCATGGGACAATTAATATTAAACATGCTTCCTGCATCACAAACGCTATAGGTGCTCAAAAGTGAAAAAAAAAAAAAAAAAATTCAAGATATCTAAGCAATGGAGCAGAAAAGATTTGTAAGGGGTTCGAACATCAGAGAGTCATGAACATGACTTTGGTACCATTATAAAATGAATTCATAGGCACCCACACCAACTCCCTCCCCCCAACATGCCTGATTATCAGCTATTACGGGGTTTGGCATGATAAGTTTTGTGTATAAGACACTTCTGTTTTGCTGTAGCACAGAGTTTATTTGCACTTCTAAGCAGAAGAAACAAATCTGAGAGCTGCACATTGACCACATGAATACAGACTTCAGCTTCTGGTGAATTTGCAATTTCTGGGTAGCAAATAAAAGGAACTGGGTAAGGTCTTATAGGTTTTTTGTTTTTTTTTACTTCCTCAGATGTTATGAAGCAAGAGCAAAGAGAGAAGAGGACAAAAATGTATTTCTCAGCTGAGCAAATCAAAGTGATACTATATATGAAGGTGCATTCATTAGAATTTTATAAAAAACTAGTTTAATAAATGGGTAATCAATTGTTATGGCATCCAACAATTCAAAAGTTGCTTCTGATTTTTCCATATCTACCATATTTACTCAAATGTATGACAACCCTGAATATAAGATGATGCCCAAATACTTAGATTCTATATATGAAAAATGTATGAATCTGTTAACATTTTCCAGGTATTATTATTATTGGAGGTTTGCCTTGAATTTGTTCCCCTCCCATGTTTACTTACTTATATATAGTACAACATATAAATTATATTAATCCAAAAAAAAAAAAGGCTTAGTGATCTACCATGTAGTTCACTGGGCTGGGCCCAAGCAAAGTCAACCGCATTTTAAGCCGTGGTAACCCCACACCTCAGAATTGCTCCAGATAATCCCCACAAAGGATCCAGGTGCTAAGTAGTGCCCCACTCATGACTGGGACCAGGTGTTCTTGTCACAAGTCCTGGGATCCTCCAAAAATGTATATGTAAATGAGGCACAGGGCAACCTGGTCCAGCTCCACCTTATGAAGGATGAGGCCACACTAATCAGATGTGACGGACTGAGGGATGGGATAACAGAGCAGTTCTGGGTGAACCATTTGGGGCCCTATTTGGTGATATTTGCCAGACATTTACAGCTGGTGAAAAAACAGGAATCATTGAAATAGGAAAGAAAGATGCAAATCAGCTGTGGGAGAGAAGAGGACATTGAAATGTATTCAGTGTAGCTTGACCTGAAAAAGAGTTGGTGCTGAAGGGGACTGCATGCAATGGACACTACCATATACCTTACTCAGCTGGGCTACCCTAACCTATCCTTGTGTTATGTTCTCATCAGTATGTTTGCCTAATATGGGCTATATGTTTTATAGTTCTGCTCAGGGTTGGCTGCATTTGATCAAATTCATAGCAGGTTTCCATTACTGAGCACATGCTGCTTTTGGCAGCAGTTTAATGATAGAAAATCTATTTAATGAGGTTTTCTTGTATATGAATATAAGTCAAGAGGCTTTTTCCTCTATGCTGACTGGGGCAGGGGTGGGGGGAGGGACCTTGTCTTGTCTTGTATTTGAGTAAATATGGTACTTGTATTGAGGGAGCTTTGGTGCAGGGACTATCTTGCTATTTGGTGTTTGTAGAACTCCTGGCATATTGGAATCCTGGTCCACATCTGGGATTGTGCGGTGCTATTACAACACAAATAATCAGGAAATTAAGCACATAAATAAATGTCTAGAAGGTTACACCTTCTTCTGATGTTTTGTAACCATCTACAACACATACTTCTCACATCTATAACATGCTTAAAATATCTAGGAATCGTTTATTAGCTCTTAACAAACTTTTTCTCAATGTAAGTTAATGCTTTGTGTTACAGTAACTCAAAAGATACATAAAGCAACACAACGTTGCACTTACCATTTCGACCATTTTGTTTCAATGTATTTGCTGATAGCTGGATTGAGCTCCCATAACCCATGTTCTGTGGAAATTTCAAATCTTCCAAATTTCCATCTGTGCTTAGTCTTGCAACTTCCAATTCTGTTTGCAAGAGACAAGTGAACACTGGGTTACAACATGGAGAATAATTACCACTAAAATAGTCACAGTATACAGACATCATGGCCCCAACACCATTTTCGCAATAAAATGTAAACATAGGAAACAGTATGGAGTGTTGCGTGTTAAACTCTGCATTGAACTTTCACTTATTTTCCATGTCTTTGCCCTGCAGAAAGGCTTAATTTTTTTTTTAATGTAAATAAAATCTACTCCTAGTTTGTGTAAATAAGCGCCCAAGGATACTCAGGACAATGGTAAAAGTGAAAATCTGAAAGTGTTGGTATTTTGCCACTGGCTGTTGGTACATTCTGTAGATTTTATCAATACTCAGTATCTCTTGTCACAGAAGTTAAAATAAAGCTATTCTCATTTAATGTGCAGATGGTGACAGGGCTGGTGTTTTCCAGCATGCTTGATTTTTTAAAATTAAAATCAACACTCAGCTAAATAAAGCCACATATTTATATTCAATTGAGCAAAACAGTATTAAGCATGATGAGGAACAAACTTCTTGTGAACTGTTCTCACTGCTATCATAGGTGTATTAGGCATTGTCTGGGATTTTCAAAGCAGTAAAACAGAATGAGGTGTTCAATCCCATCACATTTCAAGTTGAACATTTAATTTGTTTAGAGTCTTTTGAACAAAAACTGAGGCTGAGGTCATCTAGGCAGGTGCCTCCTCTTTGCTATGTATTTTGGCTGTGCTGAACAAAAGGGCACCTGGGCTTTTAGGTATAATAGTAGTAATAACAAAAGCAACAACAAACAGAGGAAGTCATGTGTCTACATATAGACATGACATATGCAGACTCAATGAAGGCTTCTATAATATTTTACTTCTGTAGAATAGCATCACTACAAGACAAATCCTGCAGGTCGTACTCAGTTCTTAGTCAGATGAAACTCCCAAGATCCCAAAAACTGAGACTGTCTTTATTCTCAGGCACTCATCACTATGGGTCTTGGAAAGTGATAAATCAGAATAATAAAGGGAGTTCTCTTTGAGAAATGACTTCAGGTTTCTTACCAACACCTTTATGTCACACTGGGAACCCTATGGGGGATATGCCTATTTTTATCACTCAAAGAAAAGCAATTAATTTATTCAAGGATAGATCTCACTTTTAGGGCCAAACCGTAAAAGTTGATCTGCACCTACAATTACTAGATCTTGCTGTTAGCCAAGAACTATTTGGAAAGAGTTACATTATTCAAGGGAAAAAATTTTAAAATCTCACACAGGTATAAGCAGACATCACTGGTCAACCACACACAACACTTTACTCCACAATTCTTGGTGAAAATCAATGATACTCCATGAGAGGAACTTTCTCCCTCCATTAAATGAAGGGAGAAAGTATTGCTGAATTTTACTCAGATGAAGTGAATTATACTAGATTGGAGACAGAGAGTGAAATTCTAGTTCCCACTGAAGACCATGGAGCTTGTACCATTAATTTCAATAGGGCCACCTTGCATCTCACATCTCGCACCTTGCATCTCAAGCCTGTTCCTGCATCT